TGCAAAAATCCAGGTTTTACCTATGAAAATCAAAATCAGTATGAGATTTTAACTATCATACACATTTCCACGTTAAAACCACCGATTTTTTCTTTATATATTCTCTATAAAATTTTCTCCTTAATTTAAATCAATTCATCCATATTCTTGACAATATCAATATTTTAATTCACGAATGGGTTGATGAATATGTTAAAAGGCTCACTAGCTAGACACCATATCATTTTCTAATGTCTAGTTCCACAAGATTACAAAATTACTTTGCTTTAATGATCCAACGGATAATAAAGATTAAAATGGCTATCAAAATACAACCAAGGGTAAATTACACCATTCGTTCCTCGTGCATATGCCAAAAAATATGTTTAGTCCCTATTTCTAAAAATTAACTCGGACCGTCCCTCGGTTTGTTTTTTCTTGCACACTTAGTCCCTATTGACATGAAATGACTTTTTTACCCTTGATAATTTCTTTTTTCTTTTACTTTTGTTTCCTTATCAATTTTAAATTAAAAACAATGAAAAAAACAAACTATCCCAACCCCTCATTACGTCACTTTCCTTCTCCTCTATTCTCACACCTCTTTCACAGACTAACACCATTGAACCAAACCACCATCACCACCTTACACCTCTTGCTACCGCCTTCGTTCACCCTTAAATTACATTCGCTTATGTTTAAAGTGTCACCTTTACACCTGACTTCGTCCTCCAATACTACCACTGATCACTGAAAACATGTTTGAAACTTCGAAGACGATTTCCAATGGTGGTGTACAGGTGAAGGAGATCGATGACTTCCGAGAAAGAAGATCCACTCAGCCACATTCTCCTTTCTTGTTCAAATATGCCGACGGCAACACATCTGCAAATCGGGTTTGTAACTCTCAAGACCTAAGCGCAAAGCAATGCAAATTGGGCTCCATCTCCGACGAAAACATGGTGACGAATAACAGTTAGTGACGAAGACGAAGGTTTTCCATCGAACACAAGTAGATCTGAGATGATGTAAATCTAATACAACGAATGCATAGATCCACTTGTGGATTTGCTGATTCTGACAGCGATTGCGAAGGTTTTGAACGGAAATTCGGATTGTAGAGGCGAAGGTGGCGGATTGGAGGCCAGATGTACCGCCGGTGGCCGGATTTTGACATATCAGGGAGGTACTTGTTGCCGGTGTTTGTGTGGTGTTCTTCAGGTTTACAGAGAAAAGGGGTGGGTGAGCTGAAGCTAAAGGACGAAGGGGTGGAAGTGAGACCCAATTTCCTTTTAAATTAAAAATAATAGTAAGTATTATTAGATTAATTGAAAAATAAATACATAAGGGCATTATGGTCATTTTAAATCTGGAATGGACTAAAAGCGCAACAAATTCGTCTTTCAGGGATGAAGCGTGCAAGTATAAAACAAACAAGGGATGATCCGGGTTAATTTTTGAAAATAGGGATCAAACGTGCTTTCTAACACTTACATGAGGGATGATTGGTGTAATTTACCCTACAACCAATTAACCGTTTCAAAACAAACCACAACTTTCGACAAAAAGAGCAGCTATGTAAAATACAGGGAACCAAACTAGAAAATCAGTTTATTTTCTTGATTACCCCTTGTAAAATCAAGAACTTCAAAACCCCTTCCGATCCTAATAAAAAACAAAACACAAAAATTCAAAATCTGCGGCATCTCCTGCATCCGTACACAGATGCTCCCTCCTCCAAAGCTCTGCATCCATCTCCACCCACTATACACATTTCCCAACGTCCTACTTGATCCACACACACACCATTTGTTTGTTCATTGAGCAAGTAGTGGACTCCGAAATCTGCAAAATTTGCAGTTTTCTTCTTCGAGTTTACTCAAAATCTGAACATCTTCTTGGATTGATGGTGGATTAAGGTTCCTTATATTTCTGCATTGTGCTGTCACCGGTGAGTCTTTCATTGCTAATCGCTTTAGAATCTGTATAAATATATGTTACTCGGGTTTTATAGTGTTTCGCGCCTTAATCAGTGGCATTAGGGTTTTGGAACTCAGAAATTGTGGTAGCATGAGGATATGATTAGGCTGACAGGAAACCTAATGATGTTGTTTTTGAGATTATAACTCGAAAGGATAGCTTTCACTTTCACTTTATGAATATTCTGTTTTTTTCTTTTTGAAAAAGAAATGCGAATGTTCGTAGATTCTTAAAGTATAAGATTTGGGTATTTAGATATTAGTTAGGTATGGAAAGTGCGGCTAAACCTACAAAACCTTCATCGAACATATCGGAAATCGTCTCCAAATTTGCGAAAGTTTGTAAGTTTAGATCGATCGGTGTATTCTCCTCTGAAAACCCTACTCATTTTCAGCACCAGGAATTCTCTAACGCTGTAAAAGAACTTGTCGATGGAATCGGAAAGACAGATTCCGATGATGCAAAAGTTTTTCCTGACCTGGTTGAGGTGTGTAGTAAAAGCAGCTGGTCTGGTCATGAAGAGATCTCGAAGCTGTTTGATATAATGTCTGAACTAAAATTGGCATATGTTCAGCTCCAAGAAGCTCATATTCCTTATGATCCAGACAAAATTAAAGCTGCTGATGAACTTGTTTTCTCTAATCTTGATGGATTGTGTAAGGTTAGGCGCTCATTTAAAGAGAAACAGTTCCAGAAATCAAACTCCCTTTCAGCCTGTTTGACTGTTCTACAAGCTGAAAAAAAGATTCAAGAGAAGTCATTAGAAAGGTTGAAGTCTCAAGCTAAAAAGAAAGATCTTGAAATAAGTTATCTGAAGGGACAACTTTGTGATTTAGATGCAAAAAACAAGGTTATAATGGAAGAGATTAACCTTAGAAAAAGGGAAGCCATAAATAGATTAAATTTCTCCTCTATTGATAACGTTGTTACAGAGGTTTCAAAAAGTATTCATGATTTTGCAAAGCCATTAATCGCTTTGATGAAAGCTTCAGGATGGGATCTTGATGAAGCTGCAAACTCAATCCAAGATTCGGTCTTGTACACTGTAAGATCTCATAAGAAATACGCATTTGAAGCTTACATTTCAAGAAGAATGTTCTATGGATTTTCTTTGAAATCCCACAATCTTGATGATGTCTTGAAGTTTAACGACCCTGTTGATGTTCTTATAGATGACCCAAATGGTAATTTTGCCGAATTCTGTAGAACAAAATACATGTTAATCGTTCATCCAATGATAGAAGCTTCTTTTTTTGGAAATTTGGATCAAAGAAACTTTGTGTCTAGTGGAAGACACCCAATAACACCCTTTTACCAATTATTTGTCAAAATGGCAAGGTGGGTTTGGCTTTTAAAAGGTATTGCAGCTTCAGAGCCTGAAAGTGAAATGTTTATAGTGAATCGAGGAAGCAAATTCTGTGATGATTATATGGAAAGTATTGAAGGGTGGAAAGATGATATTGGGTCTGTAGAAGGGCAGTTTGGGAATTACAAAGTTGAGCTGATGATCATGCCAGGGTTTAGAATTGGGGATAGGTTGATTAAGTCTCGGGTTTATCTTTCAGAACTCAGCAATACTTGCTAGGAAGACAGGCTGTGGCATATTGGTAATAATTCAGAGCCTTTTCTTTTGTTCTTACTATGAGTACAAGTTGCATGTTTGAGTTAAATTAGGGTGTTAATGTGATTGTATGCTTAATGTTAATGTGATATTATTGATATTAAACTTCTAAAATTGAAGAACATGCTTTAAAGTTTAAATCTTTATTATGTGGGTAATGTAGAAAGATTTCTTTCAAGTGATATTGGCAAACACCATATTGACAACTAAAGAAATAAAAGAAGAGGCGAATATGCATTTAATCAAACAGGTTATGTGCATGACTGCATGCTGAGGCTGAATGTATGAATGATATGATTCAAACTTCAAAGGAAGTGAAAAAAATGCATTAAAGTCTAGCCCATTGCTTCACGACAAATTGGTAGTCAGTTGCCTAAGTTGGCGAAAGATACTGGACCAATTATATATATCCAGCAAAATTTATTTACATTATGAAACATTAAAAAAAATTATGTTCGGAATTGGAAGTGCATATTCTGAATTCAGCAGATACACCCTTAATTATCAGCAGATACACCCTTATTTATAAAAGAATAGTTCTTAGCATCCACGTGTCACTTTGGTAGCCCTCCAACTCATCAGTTGCCACACATCCGTATGTTAGATAATTCCTACGAATTTGAACATTGAAGACCAAAATGATTACCAAAATTACTAAATATTGATTGCTAAAATATCAAAATTACCGATTTCAATAAACCTAAATTAAATTGAATACATTGTGGACCTAAAATTCTGCACCTTTTAAACGAAATTAACAGCGGTAATCCATAAAATCCGGTATTGAAATTTAAATTTTTAATAACATCATCTGTAAATAAGGTAATTTCAAAACATACAGTCCTTTAAATACATTAATTCAAAAACAAAAAAGTTGTCCATCTAACGATCCGGTATCACATCCTTATTTAACGCGAAATAGCTAATATCTCCCAATAATATTTATAAGATTTTTGACGATTTGCATTTGATTAATCTACAAATATATACCTGCATACGATAAGAAAATCTTCACAATTTTGTCATTCCTCTCATTCCTTATTCTTCTTCCTGTTTCTATTCCATATACTAATAAACAAGTTCAACTCAGCAGATATTCTATTTGTTTCTTTCTTTTCTTCTTGTTTCTACATTTTTTTTCCTCTGTTTCTATTGTCCCAAATAAACAACAGTATAAAGGTCACTGTGTATTACCTAAATATTAGAATATTTTTATGTAATTTTTTTGTTTATATTATTTATGCTTCGTGTTTCTACCCCTTTTCATGTTGAAAATCTAAAAAAAAAAAAACATTTTTACAAAGTAGAATGCTATAGATGGCAGTTTCCAGAAAAAAAGATGTTTTTTTTTTTAATAATTTTTCACTCCATTTTCAATATCTTCAAAATTTAATTATAAAAGTTTCCAAAAAATAGGATGCTAAAGGATAAGTTATTTATTTATTTATTTATTATTTTTTCGAACTCACGATTACTAACACAAGGTTACTATGTATTTTCTTCTTTTGTCCACTGTTCTCTTTGTCAACCAGAAATTAGTATGTTATAAGGATAAATTGTAATTAATAACATCTTAATTTCCAGAAATCAAACATAACGGGGGACTGTTTATCAAACACAGCAAAGTAAATAGTTTTACAAGTTATAGAAACAACAAAATAACCAAGGTCTCATCTTTTCTGAATATCCATGTGAATACTTTCCTGTTACAAAAAAAAAGATAGTTACCCAAATGTGAACAAACCGAAAAGTTAATTACCTTAATAAGTCTATTTCCCTAATTGGTTTTTCTAAAAGATAAGGATGTATCATTTAGGCCGCTCTAAATACTAAAATACTTTACATTACCAAACAACAAAATGTTTACCCCATAAACTTAAACTTAAAACCATTCAAATGGTGATAAAAGCTGACATTTCACATCTTTTACACAAACAAACAAGATATCAAGAGCAAGTACTGTAAATTCCGTCTCAATCTCAGTTCAGTCCAATGCATGTTAAATACAGTCATGTCCAGTATAAAAAGTTTGGCTTAATGAACACTGAGGTTTTTAACTCCCTCTTCAACATGAGAAGAAAGACTACTCTTTCTCCACCTCCAATAATTCACTCTCATCGGATCCATCATTTCCAAAACCGAACAAACCCTAGCTGCCACACCGGAATCAAAGTTGTTCGACTCCGGAATCAGAGATTCCAGAGCAATTCTCAGGTCTTGGGTAGGTTCAAAACCATGGACAAGGAGATCCAAGAAAAGGCTAAGAGCAAACACGCAGTTGACTTTGGAAGTCAACACTTTGAGACAAACCGTTGAGACCTTGGAATCTGTTATAAATGCCTTCATGTTGTTTCTGTAGAGGCCACGAAGGTATCTCCATGGGCTTTCGTTCTCTGGTTTTGTGATAATGGCTTTTATGGTGTAATTAACCTCGGAATCTCTTATTCCCTCTATGCCTCCTAATCCCGGGTGTCTTGTTATAACAAAGTATCTCTGAAAGAGAATTAAGTTATGGATTTATATCCAATAAACAGTTATTTACAACTTTAATGTATAACATCTCTCAAATAAACAGTCGTTTGGTTATTCTTATTCAGAATCACTCTTAAATAGAAAGGCAAAATGGTCATTTATTCACATTCAAGACAGCTCATCATGTATGAAAAATGGCTATTCACGGTTTTAATTTATGACCGTATTGAATAAATAAACAGTCATTTGTTATTCAACATTAGTTTTGAACAAATGGGTAGAATGGTCATTTACTCACATTCAGCCCAAAAACATTTATGTACAACTTTAATACATATAACAGTTGTAAATAAACGTTCATTAGTCATTCACAATCACTTTTAAACAGCTAAAAAAACCCAGAATACCATAGGAATGGGGTAAGGATCAGTAACAATTTTTAAAACAAAAGGGTAAAATAGCAATTTATTCACATTTGTACTTTTTATTCAACCCAAAAAACAGTTATACAATTTAAATTCATAACAATTCTTGAATTAACAATCAATTGTTATTCAACATCACTTATAGACAGAAGGGTAAAACAGTCATTTACTTACATTCAGACAGTTCATTCTGTTAAAAAAACAGACTGTGTGACTTTGTGTAAACAACATTTACTCCAGTCATACATCATTGCAGCAGTTAATGGGAAAAGACACAGGCTCTAAGCATGATGAATGAGATTATGTATGAAGAAAAAAGTAATTAATAAAAAATAAGATGTTGAATTAGGAATTTAGGATGGTAGATTTAAACAAAATTCTTGAAAATGACAAATATATATTCATGGAAAACAGTTTCTAGACCCCAAGAACTCAAAGAACATTTTGGCCCCACTGATTACATTATGATGTGTTTTAATAATTTCAGCAGAAAACATGTAGTAGAATAAAGATCCCATGTTAAGAAACTTAATAATCTATAGACCTGATTCCAAGCAGAATTGTTGAAAATATCATCTTCAAGTAGTTTATCACAGTAAGCAAGTTCATCTTCCCAGCCTCCAAGATTTTGAAGGACCCACTGAATATGAAAATAAATAAATCAAATCTGAAGCCTTTATACATACTGAAATATAACTAAGTTGCATACCTGTCTATGAGACCAAGCATGATAATTTTTAGCATCGTTTAAGAATATGTTCTTGGTGAACTCAAGTTCTCTACCAGCAGCTTCACTCCCTAATTTCTCAGCAACCCACCTCCTATGGTGCCTGTATTAAGATTTAAGAATATTTCAAATCATATCATTTAGAAGCTATTTTGGTAGAATCTGAATGCTAAGTGATTAGTCTAAGAAAGAGTATACTGTCTCACCATAGTTGGTAGTTTTTTGAGTTCTTGCTAGCAAGATGCTCAACGAATTCTAATTCATCATGCAAATCAGCATTGAGAGTCTCGAGTACTACTCTTCTGAATTGCCACACCTGTGATGTGAAAGACAAAAACATGTTGGCTCTCATAGTAGATTGAATCGGCGTTTCTTGCTTCCACTATGTTCACATCAATTTCCTTCTTGTATTGTTAACTTCTAATCATGCTATCAAAAGTTTCTTTCTGTTTGTTACAACCATGTATCAAACTACTCAAAACCCCCAATCATCCTCTATTCGAAGGCTCAATTAGAGATTGAGCTCCAAACAGATTCGATCACTGAAAAACGAAGTAGTAATAAAACTACAAATTATAATCAAAATTAGTTTGAGATCAATAAGAGTTTGTTAATTCTTACGGTGTAATTTCCAGCATTGAAGTGAATGGCTTCGGAGGTAAGCTGAAGAGCGCGATGTGATCGCTCATCGGCGAGATATACAGCTCGAAAGTAATCCATAATCTCGGCGAACTCTTCAGAGTACGCAATGGGAACAACGGGGTTAGGACCATCGTCCTGCGGCACCGGAGTGATGTCGGACCATTCCGGTCTTTGTCTCAGTGGTATCCTCTCATCTTCATCTGAATCCATTCAGTCGACGACGATGATGCTCCGATCCGGCGATCCCCCTGCCTCTTGGAATTTCTGCTTTTATTCTCTGAGGGCGCGTTTGGTTGATAGAAATGGAATCTCTAATATCCTGTTTGGTTAGAGTAAATAGTTTGGTACGTGCAAAATGGAATTAGAATAGTGTAAAATTACATAATTATTATTCTTGGTTTTTGCTTACTTTCACTTTTTTATAATTATATGCAAAAATATATTATATAAATTATAAAAATAATAAACGGTGGTGGTGGCGGCGGCGATGGTTGTGATGGCAGTAGTGTGTGGTGGTGACGAAGGTAGAGGTAGTGGTAGTAGTGACATCAATAGTGTTAATGGTAGATACAGTGGTGGTTGTGGCGGTAGGTGTTAGTGGCGGCGATGGTGGTGGTGGTGGGTGTAGGTGGCGGTGACAGTGACGGTGGTGGTGGTGATGACAATAGAGGTGATGATGGTGATGATAGAGTTACTAATGACTACGGTAGTGATAGGGTTGTGGTGTAAGTGGTAACAAAGGTTATGGGTAGTGGTGGTAGTGGTGGTGGTGGTGACGGTGGTGTTAGTAGTGGTGTCAGCGATGGTGATGGTGGTAACGGAAGCGGTGGGTGGTGGTGGCGAAGGTGGTAGCAGTGGTGACGACATTAGTGATGATGGTTAGTGGTGGTGGTGGGTGGGTGGGTGGGTGGCAGTGGTGGTGGTGGTAGGTTGTAGTGGAGGTGGTGGGTAGTGGTGGAGGTGGTCGCAAGTAGTTACAGAGGTTTTTCATATTTAATGTTAAAAATGAAAAGGGTAATATAGTAATGTTCAACACTCCCACACGAAGGAATTTGAATTTCCTCATCTTTTAGATGTAATTTATTTTCCCTCAATGGAAGGAAAGTTGGATACATTTAGGAATCCAATTCCTTCTCAAAACTTGAACCAAACATAGGAAAGTGATGGAACTAAATTCCAATTCCTTCCGATTCCAACAGATTCCAGCAAACCAAACGATCCTTTTTAGGAATCCAATTCCTTCTCACTTCTCCCCTTTTTAGGGTATGGATGTAATCCACCAATCAACATTATGGTGACGAAAAAAAGAGTTTTAAGAATTTGTTTGAATTAACTTTTGTGGTAAAAAATCAATATTTCAATAAGTTGTTTTTTAAAAAATGTTTGTCTAAACTTATAAATATTTTAAGAGGTATTTATCTTTTAGGGATAATGACTTAAAAGGGTAATGTATTTTTCGATTTGTACATATTTGGTCACTGAGTTTTTTTTTTCGTCCACATTTACCCCTTCAACTTGTTAAATTGTACACATTCAGTCCTTATGACCGGTTACTCCAGGTTAACTGGGAAAATGACTTAATAGGGTAATATATTTTTCATTTTGTACACGTTTAGTCTTTAATATTTTTGTACATATTTAGTCATTAATATATATTTTTTTTTGTTTCAAAATAAGTCTTTATTTGTACTCTTTCAATACTTATGAATGATTTCTTTAGATATTTTTCACGACATCTTATGTGGGACAATCATTGATGAGGTGTTTGGGGTTGTTGATGCTTATGTCCAACATGATTTTGACTGCTTAGTTGCGTAGGTCTTGTGGTTTGGCTTAAGTCTTGTATTCTGATCGTCGTAACTTCATTATAGGATATCAGATTTTGACGATCTTTATATCCATGTGTTAATTTTTTCATTAAGATTACTACCATTAAAATGTAATATATTTTTACTTACGATTTTATAAAAAAACATCCATACATGCATTCATAAAAAACATATGAACAGGGGAGGACGTATGAATATATAGTAGGTGTTGCCAAAATGAGATAGGTGTTGCTGATACATGAAAAATAGTTATAAACGAAAAGAAATAAAAAAAAATTCCACTGTAGACAGAAAAAATAGGTGTTGCCGGTGCAACACTGAGACCATGCTAAATCCGCCCCTGCATATGGATATAAAAACCGTAAGTAAAAATATATTATTTTTTAATTAGAGTAATCTAAATGAAAGTTATAGTAGACTAAAATATGAATGTACGGATATAAAGTTCGTTTGCATGGATATGTAAAGATCATTAAAATTCGAGATCGTATGTAGAAGTTATGAAGTTCAGAACACATGACCTAAGCAACCAAGTAGTGGAGATCACGATGGACATAAGCATCAAAAGGCCCAAACACATCATTAATGAATGTCTCACATAAGATTTCGTGAGAAAACCCTAAAAAAATCATTCATATGTACTGAATGAGTATAAAAACATAAATGACTTATTTTGCAAAAAAAATATTAAGGACTAAATGTGTACAAAAATATTAAGAAATAAATACAAAATGAAAAATATATTACCCTATTAATTCTTTTATACCGGCTAACCTGGAGTAGCTGGTCATAAAGATTAAATGTATATAGTTTAACAAGTTCAAGGGGTAAATATAAACGAAAAAAAAAAAAAAACTCAGTGACCAAATATGTACAAATCGAAAAATACATTACCATTTTAAGCCCCTATTTTTTACAACCAAAAAATTATAAGGAATTCTAAAAAGTTGAAAATTCTAACTTATCGAAATTTCATTTCGAAGGGTTAATGAGAAGTTATTTTAAAAGTTTTTTTTTGTTAGTATTGTCAATTTTTTTTAGTTTATTGACCTTTTAAAAAGGCAATAATTCAATAAGTTTTTTTAAAAGAAAAATCCCAAAGACCCTATAAATTATCTTTGAATAAGGTATCAAAAGTCTATTAATCAAATAATTGTTTAGAATGATATGTTATGAAAAAAATCGGCGTGTAAGGTTTGTCCCCTGTTTATATATTGTTTTATTATTTCTAAGGCGTAAAAGGTTAAATAAAAAAGAAACCTGGGCAAATTGTTATGCATATATATTTAAAGAATTCATATGAAAAAATTACCCTTTTTGATATCTTATTAAGCCCAATCGACCTGCCATTTGCCCACCGTGCTACTTGACTCTTCATCTTTTATACCTATTTATTATCCCCTCTACTCCTCACTCCTCAAACCAAACTCAACACACACATGGCGAAACAGATGCAGATTGCAGAGTGAAATATCGACAATTATATACGAGAGAGAGAGAGAGAGAGAGAGAGAGAGAGAGAGAGAGAGAGAGAGAGAGAGAGAGAGGTTTTAATGGGGAATTACAGGTTTAGATTTTCAGATATGATACCAAATGCTTGGTTTTACAAGCTTAGAGACATGAGCAAGACGACGAAGACCACCGCCACTTCCACCACCCACAGCAAGAAACCAACGTCTGGTTCTTATTACTCAGCAGCACCACCGCAAAACCACCATTTTTCTCAGCCAAGAAACTCGTTTTATTACACCCCAAGAGTTTCCCAATTCCACAATTCACCAAAATTCCCATATTTACATGACCCACCAAGAAAATCTTCTAAAAAAACCAGACCCAACAGAAAAACCATATACAGACCTTCACCAAAACACACTTCACTCGCTGACTCGACTCAAAGCACCCTTCAAGATTTCTTTCATTCTCCCACAACAAACACTAGCCCTTTTTCCCTTCACGAGTCTTCCTCCTCCGAGTCGACTCAATCAGGACTCGCCACTGCCTCCTGGTGCACCTCTTGCACCTGTAGAGTCAGTTCTTCCACTTCCGACATCGTAATCGATGTAAACGAGACTAGAAATAGTGACAATTCAAGCTGTGGGTTTGATTTGTCACCTGAGATAGAGCTTAACCTCCCTCCAATAATAACAAAACCGGCCAAACCCACTTCAAGAAACACACAAACATCACATTCCGGCAAGAAACTCAAAGAAGCCAACAGAACTCCGGCGAGAAAATCAGTCTCCGGAGTCAAACTCAGAACCAATTCTCCCAAACTAGCAGTGAGCAAAAGGATCGTTCAAAAGTCTGCACAGAGAAAGACCTTGTCAGAAAGCTTTGCAATTGTGAAATCATCGTATGATCCTCAGAAAGATTTCATGGAATCAATGATGGAGATGATCGTCGAGAACAACATCCGGGCGTCAAAGGACTTGGAAGAGCTTCTTGCATGTTATCTTTCTTTGAATTCAGATGAGTATCACGATGTAATTGTTAAAGCATTTGAGCAAATTTGGTTCAGTTTGCCAGATATGTAACTTTTGTAGGTCAAGGAACCCATAACTCAAACATAAAATTACGTCGAATTTTGTACAAGTCGTTCACTCTTGGTGCTTTCGGCGTCGCCAGAAGATCACAAGTTCTATTGCATTCTAAAAAAGGAAAATTCTGACAACTTGGAACTGAATTGGAGTTGTTTTAGTTCGAAAAAAGACACAAACTTACAACAACCACCTGACAAGATCCTTCTATCTACGAGTAAAAATGATAATGTAGTGTTAATATAAAATGTAATTGTGTGTACATTTTACTTTTACCAATTTGGGTTGTATTTTTAAATTAAGTTATATATATATATATATATATATATATATATATATATATATATATATATATATATATATATATATATATATATATATATATATATATATATTCTTTGTTTCTCTTTACAGATGAAATTGTCTTTATAATGTGGCATTTAGGGTTGTTTTATGCTTTTAACAATTTGAGCTGTATTTTGAAATTAAGTTATAATGTACTGTTTATATATATATATATATATATATATATATATATATATATATATATATATATATATATATATATATATATATTTGTTTCTCTTTACAGATTAAATTGTCTTTATTGTGTGAAATTTAGGTAATTCATGATGTCTGAATTAGATCGATAAAAAAGAAATCTAAGATAATATAAATGGTGTGCATAGAACAATTTGGATTCCAAACAGAATCATGAAACGGTTACAGATCTGACATCGTTTTTTATATTTAAGAAATAGAAGAAACCGAGTCTAGTTTCTTCACAAAACTAAACATTAGCTTATTCATAAAAGAAAGTAAATTTAGCTAAATATAGGTACAATTTGTCTAGTTTGATCCAGGTCTTCCATGTTATAAGTCCACAAAACCACAACTATTTTTACCCCAATTATAGGTGTTTTTCGTGACTAACACTTTAAACTTTATTAATTCCACGATAATTTTGTTGGACACATTCATAATATTTAAATAATATTTAACAAGATTCTAATTTTCCTACAACTTTTTTATTTAGTATTTTAGAGAGTCCATGTTAAACAATAAAAACATGAGAGTTTTTCTTATTCACCGGACATTCAAGTTTCAAATTCATTGTATGTCATTTTCGTGTCTCGCTAAGGTAAAGTCTAATTCTTTATATTTCGAATGGACATTACACCCTATTTTAACTCATTTATTGAACATTGAACCATGTGTTGTGGATGTTCTTACTTTCATTTCCATTGTGTTTGTTAGAATCCACATGCGGATTAAGTTGTGTTCGAACGAATTACAAATATTTTGTCAAGTATATATTAAATTGTGAAATATGATCTCTATAAAGCTATTACTTTTATTTGTTTATTTATTTATGTGCTCCCTCCATATATTAGGAAAAAGCGTGTAAAAGACAGAAAGGGGTCCATAGGTTGGATTATGCGGAGAAGAAATGAGAGCAAATGCAGTGTAAAGCAACTTTTAGCTCTCATTGCGTTGTCTAAAGTTAAAGGCCGCTTTTTCCTTGTGTTGCATGATTAATTCAACTTTTTAACATAAAACAGATAAAATGATAATTGAGTTTCAGTTTCTGCTGTAAAATACTATTGAAAATTGTCTTGAATAACAAATTTTTAAAGATAGAAAATTAAAAAATTGAAATATAATTCCACTTGTCTAATGTAGCATGATTTTATAAAAACTAAAAAATAAATTAGCAAAATAAAAAACTAAATTAGCAATGTACTTTGCAAGTATATCGTTATTTATGACCATATAAAAAACATTTTCCAACCTATCTATTATCCTTGTTTTTGTAACATCCTAAAATCATTACGTAGTTAAATCATTAATGAATAATCATAACGTAAGTTGATATGAATTTTAGGAAATTAGAAGAGGAAAATAATAACATTTTAAAAGTTAAATGGTCAAAAGTGTCAAGTTGGCAAAGTGATTTGATCAAAAGGTTAACTCAATAGAAGGGATTACCAAGGTTATAAAATGGACGATGAATGAATTATTATGTCAAAACATGACTTAATGTTACAAATATTGAGGTTTTGTGAGTTTTGGCTAAAATGAGCAAACTTAAGGGACTAAATGTTAAAAAAAAATCTGGAAGTAAGATGAATACCCTCATCATTTCTCTTCCAAATTCATGATGGGCACTTTAAAGACTCTCCATCTGGCTGAAGGGCATTCTAGAGACTCTCCATCTAGCAATTCTTCATCTTCTTCCATCTAGGGTTCTATCTAAGTGAATAATTAAGTAATCAAACAAAGGAAATAAGGAATCAAGGCTTTCAAGATAAAAATAGTCTTCCTATTTAGCCTAGAAGTTGTTTTTGGTGAAGTGGGTAAAACCCTAATGTCGAAATTAACTCCATTTAATGGTTAAGGTTTGGGTTTCTAACCTCCCTTAAGTTGTTTTGATGATCTCAATCTCAATTCAATCATTCCATTGATTGATATGAGGATTTTGTTTCCGCTTGAACCCTAGAAATCTAAATTGGGGATTTCTTATTTATATGTTAAATTGGAAAGGATTAAATGACCTAGATGATGTTTGATAATGTAACACCCAAGGATTAGGGCGAGTTAATTTAGAGACGATAAGTGTTAAAAATGACATTTTGATGGAAGATTATTTTGAATGAATAATCTTAACTAAGTTGTAGTATATGTTACACGGATTCCGTACATATAAAGAACGCCGAAATCCGAGTTATAACGAAGAAGTTATGACCTGTCGAAGTTTTGCGACAGAACCGGCACGACGCTGAATGACGTAAAAAGTGAATTTACGTTAGAGAGATATTTAGGCTTAGTGATCTAAACGAAAGTCGTAGAGTTCGTTAAACCGAGAGCGTGCTTAAAAAGAATGCCCAAATCTGACTTCGTATGAGGAAGTTGTGATTTTTCTAAGTTTCAGCTTAGAAGTATGCAGCCCGAAACTCGAATTCGAGATCGGGTGATTTCTAGACGAAACAATATAAACGAGAATTGAAGATCTCGTTGATAGTAGTCTAACGGTTAAAAGACAGACGAAAATGGACGTCAAATGAAGAAATTATGAATTTATAACAGAGTTTTCCTGTCCCGACCTACTAAAATAATATAATAAAAATAAAATCAAAATTAGCCGACGGAGTCTAAAAGAAAGTTGTAGAGCATAGTCTCACCTATGCGTGCATATAAAGAACGACGAGAACGGAGTTCGTATGAGGAATATATGAATTTCGGAAGTTTTATAAATAATTAAAATATATTAATTTTAATATAAATTTGGATATTATCCGAAGGAGGGGGAAAGTCATCGATCCGATCCGAACTACGCCCAGCGTACTCCGGTGCATGAACCGCCTTAGACTCGAGTGCTCCGAATACGTAAGCAATGACGAGTCCGAGCTACGCTCCGCGTAGTTGAGAATTACGCCCAACGTAATGACAGGGTTCAGGCCCTATATAAAGGGTGCGAGGGCAGCCAACCTTTTTGCTCATTTTCTTTTCTCTCTCTCCCATGTTGCTTCGATTTTCGTGCATGAAATACCCCGAAGCTCTGGTATCATTCCCGAGACTCGAAGCAAGTCCCGAAGCCCCAAAGATCCCGAGAAAAATAGTTTGCGATCCGAAGCTCTGCCCGTGTGAAGCCCGGTTTCATCGCAAAAGAGTATTTTAATAGCCGTAGTGCTGTCCGATCATCGTCTTATCAAGTGAGTGTATAGTCACTTTCTTCTAACACATAAATATTAAGTATTTGCTATGAAATACGTGCTATGTGTGTATATATTGTTGTTTATTTGAGATGATTGTGGAATGGCTGAATTATATAGGTTTGAATGAGTTAAACCGTATATATATTTTGTATCTACAAACATGTTGGGTAGAACATGGGTAGATAAGATTGTTGGTATGTGATAAAAGATGAGTTGGATCATGAGATAAAAGGGTAAAGAGATAAATTTGTTATATATATATATATATATATATATATATATATATATATATATATATATATAAAGAGAGAGAGAGAGAGTTAGGTTCAAATGTTTTTAGCAACTATTATGTGCATAAATGGACCAATAGGAATTTAGGAATAATAAAATTATTAAAAAATAATATAAGGGTAATTTTGTAACTTTACATCACCTTCATTTATTAAACCAAAAATAATTCATAGAAAACTCCTTAATTAATGGAACAATTACCATAAAAGGCCCTAAACTAACCCTAGTCGTCCAAGTCCCCTTTTTGATATCGGTCGAGAAAGAGAAATCTGGAGGCGAGGGGCTGTGCGATCCGAAGAGAAGAGAATGAAGACTACAAGGAGCCACCACCGATGTCGTTTTTTGAGCCAGGCGAGTTGTTGTCATGGTCGTTTCACAGAGCCGGTATCGTAGAGTTCATCACCACCTTCTTGTTCCTCTACATCTCGGTGTTGATTGTAGTGGGTGTGGTCAAATCTCTGACGAAATGTGGCACGGTGGGTATTCAAGGAATCGTGTGGGCTTTCAGTGGTATGATTTTCGCTCTTGTCTAGTGCACTGCCGGTATCTCAGGTATGTTTCCACTTTCCACCGGAACCCTAATTTTATCTTCTTTCTTCTTCAAATCGTCTAAAAACTACATTTCATCTTCAAACAGGAGGGCATATTAATCCAGCTGTGACATTTGGTTTGCTATTAGCAAGAAAATTGTCGTTGACCAGGGCAGTGTTCTACATGGTGATGCAGTGTCTTGGAGCGATCTGTGGTGCCGGAGTTGTGAAAGGGTTTCAGGGTGATGCGCAGTACACGACGTTAGGCGGTGGTGCTAATGTCGTCGCCCATGGTTACACAAAGGGTGATGGTCTTGGTGCTGAGATTGTTGGCACTTTCGTGCTTGTTTACACTGTGTTCTCTGCAACTGATGCTAAAAGAAGCACCAGAGACTCCCATGTCCCTGTATGCAACTCACTCCATTGACTATTGAATTATATACAGATATTCACTTTAGAAAAGGTGAGATTTTTTCTTGAATTAAATTTGAATGTGTTTATTGTAGATTTTGGCTCCTCTTCCAGTTGGGTTTGCAGTGTTCTTGGTTCATTTGGCCACCATCCCCATCATCGGAACTGGATGTTGATTCTTTGGTGATTCATTGACTGTCAATCAAAAGGAAACACATGTTGAAACAGAATAAAAGTTAATTTAAAACTCAATCAGGTATCTTATTTTCTTTATTGATTACAATATTCTATTATCTGAGATTTGATCAGATAATATCTGAATACATTAAATTCCAACAGAATATCTAAATCGATTCCAATTTTCAACCACGCTTTAGTTGTTTTGTTTTTCTAAACCATTTGAATTGAGTAAAATTATATAAAAAACTAAAAACTTCTGAGTTTTGTAGATAATAAGAAGAAAACAAAAGCTAAAAGTTGGTGTGTATTTTTTGTGGTGATGTAAGCAGGAACATGTGCTTTTTTCAAATATTCATGATTCAGATATTCTGTTGGAATTTAATGTATGTTAGGATGATGCAGGAATGATGAGATAAGTTATGAAAAAAAGACATGTGATACTTCATTATCAAAGAATGAAGAAAAACAACAATATTTTTTCAGAATTTCAAGATTCAACATCCAAAAACAATAATATTCTTTCAGAATTCAAGAATTCAAGAAGAAAACATGGAGAACGAGAGTATTCTAGCAGAATGTTGTTATTTTTTAAGAATGTTATTCATTTTAGAATTTCAAATATTATACCAAAATGTTCATATATTTTTGTTTTCAAAATTTCAAATTACAAACTTTCTTATTTTTTTAATTTTGAAGTATTTGTTTTTCTTAAGAAATATTAATATTTGATTAATTTTAATATTTTATTAATAATTTATGGTCCCTGATTAATCCCTTAACACCAAGCTACCGTCGAACGATTTTTACAACATTGATATATATATATATATATATATATATATATATGTGTGTGTGTGTGTGTGTGTGTGTGTGTGTGTGTTATATACAAATATGTATTTAAAATATATTTATCTAATAATATTAATAATAAATAATTTACAAAAATAATATATTTATTCACATTTTAGTATAATAATAATAATAATAATAATAATAATAATAATAATAATAATAGTTGTTTTTATAGAAATATCCTAATATTTTGGTTTAATTTATGCAATAATCATTAATTAATTTGTTACAAGTTCTTACCTATAAACAATGGTCAAAATATAACATTTTATCGATTTTTAAAACTTTTTTTATAAAAAAATATAATAATTTTGGACTAAAACGTAAATTCATCCAAAATTTTAACAGTTTACCAAAGATTTCCCATTTAGAAATGGTTGAAACCTTTTAAAACAATTTTCATTTCAACCGTTTAATTTGATTATAATATTTATTTTATTTCAACGATCTTGCATTAAGATTGTTTTTTCCTCTCATGTGTCTGACAAAACAATCAAAACCATTTATTTCCATTGACAAACATCAAAACCATTTATTTCCATTGACAACCACTTGGTGACAAATTTCTTAAACAATCATATTTCTAGAAATATATGATTAGGTACATCTCTTGAAACCAACATCCGGCAAATTGACTGAGACGTCGGCTGTATCGTTTCCCAGATTTGAATTGTTTCCCAGATTCAGATAAATCAGATCCAGAATAACATACCAATTTTGATACGTGATATACAAGCGATCGATGCACGATGGGTTCGTATCAACCATCGGAGCTGTAATACTAATATAGTAGTAAAGGAAGAGGGATGACAAGAAACCTTCACATGGAAACTAGTAACAGAAGATGGTGCAAATTAATATGATTATGTGAAGGACCACAAGAAGGTCCATAACTCATGACATCCCTCGAGACCCAATCCACTGGACCACTAGTAAATCCTTTTCCAGATCCCATGTTTCCAAATCTAGAGAACTTGTGCTCTCATGATGTGTACATTATGCATAAAAATTTGTACGTTGGTATGCATATAATAATTTCAACTCTGAAAAAGGGGTATCTTGGGGTTAATATTGTAAAGATGATACCTTTTTTGGGGTTATGTTGTATTGGGAATTTTTATCCATTCTCCATTTGTGGTATTTTCTGTTTTTTCGATTAGTCTCTTTCCATACACCACAAAAAACACAACTCAATACCAAGTACTACTCAAAACCCCCACAAACACAATTTTCTCTCTGTTAATAGTGACAACACTAGCAACATTTTGTTGTTGCTCTAACTGCCATGAATGAAATAAATATTACTATATTTTGTGGTGGTAGCAATTAATCCATTATGGCTCTTGCTGTTGGATAAGTGAGTTTTGACAACTAATTGATTTTTTTTTTTTTTGGTAAACCGCACCATCTGTCCATCTGAATGGCTCACGTCAACTGGTTTCAAGGCTTATGTCAATCGCAGAACATTAATAATATTTTGGGTGTGTCAATATATGTGAAATTGCACTCCTCAACCACAAGCTCCCATCACGGGGGTAAAAATCAAGTCTTATGGAAAAGAAAAGGGTGGCCGAGGCAAAAATCAACCACTAGGCTCCTATCATGGAAAAAAAAAAATCTTATCATAGAGTTGAATCTAATATTATAAAATGTCTTAATAATAATAATACAAGTTATGATATAAATGTCATTCTAGATTATATAGATTGATAATTTGATATCATACATAAGTTTATGAGTTTGACCTCTTAGGTTCTTCTCTAAAATCCCCAAAATACACACCACATAAATGTAAGTTTATGTTTAAGTGAGTTCATGAATTTGATGTTTCCACATAAATATAAATATAAAACATAAACACGTCCAATTCAAAAGCATATGAGAAGACTACATTGACATCGAGTCTTTGAAGTTTTTTTTTCTTTCCGTGGTGGCTATAGTGAGTTCATGAATTTGATATATCCACATAAATATAATACATAGAACATATAATATTTCCAATTGAAAAGCATATGAGAAGACTGGATTGACATTGTGTCTTTGAAGTTTTCTTCTTTCCGTCCTGGCTATGAAGAATGCCAATCAACGACAATGCCGAAAAGCTACCTATCTACTTAAGAGTTCTAGGTTATGTTTGACAGACTAGTTGAAAAGCTAGATGTCAGTTGAAAAGCCAACTGATAACTTATAAGCTAGCTTACAAAACATGACGTTTGGTAAAAACTAACTGATAAGTTAGCTGAAAGATATAAAATAACATTTAAAAGAATATGTTTTCTATAATTAATTAATGATATATTCAAAAGATTTTAAAAAAGCTTTTGAAAAGCTAGTCGAGGTAGCTTTTAAAAAAACTAGTTTATCAGTTACTTTTTGGCTTGTCAAACATATCAATTTAAAAAATAAATAAATACTTAAATCGAAAAATAAACTAGCTTATCAGCTAGTTATGACAAGCTAAATACAATATTAGTTCCTAATCCCACATGGGTGAAAAAACGAGAACGCTTTAATAAAATCATTGTCATATAATAAAATCGCAAACATGTCACTCGTTATGATTCGTCTTCACTCTTTAGAATTTATAAACATTGTTTATCTTAGTTCTAAAAACATTATACTACTCACATTTTTAGCGATAGACGCTACAATAAATTTATAATTATATGATTTTTATTGGATGTGGTCAAATTGTTCAATATAATTGATGAAAATTTGAAAACGCACACACATTTATATATAAATTTTTTGTATTGCAAAAAACCCCATAACTTCACCATGAATTGACCATTTTCTACCACATCAAGTCTCACGCCAATTAAAACCATATTGTTATCTATTACTCTATTATGCTACACTTCGCATTAGAGGTGCACATCAAAACGTATTCATTATATACATATATAAAACTGAAAAAGACCAAATACAAGTAGAAAAAACTGAACGTACTAACCTAAAACGAGACCGAATCAAATAGAACTTGTCCGAAAAAATACCACTCAATATCAGTTTTTGTGCACCTCTACTTTGCATGATTCATACGATATTGGATTTTAGTTATTTAAGAAAGTAGGGCACGATTTAATCACTACATATAATGACTAATTAAAAATCTTGGACGCTAAGTAGCAAGAGAAATATTTTGCTTAATAGGACAACAGCCAAATAAATATCACCAACAAAAAATCAATTTGATATTTACGTGTATTATTCACACGTCGGAACAAAAAGCAAGAAAACTTTATGTACGGTTTTTTTTTTTTTTTTTCTCTTTCACTTTGTGTATCTCTTTTTCCAAAGCATAATGCTGTTTAAAAACCCATCACATGTCTTCTAAAATATTTATTTATATTTCATACATCTTATTTATTTACTAATAATATCGAGATGTAAAACGAAATGGTGTAAAAATTTAGGCCATAACTTTGTGTTTTGTCTTTTGGGAAGGTTGTTTGAGATAGGTGATCATGTTCCAAAGAGCCAAAAGGTCAAATTTTATAAGCTACATGTGTAAAACTTTATGTGAATTAAACAAATGGGTTAAAAAGCCAAAAGAAGTCTCAATAATTTTGGCGTGAGAATCCACAATTTTTGTTGTTTACCTTCATGAGAACAAACAAAATGTCTCTTCACATTTAACATTGGTGTCATAAGTCCACAATTTAAATGTCATTTCATGGAAATAAAAAATATATATATTCTGATTTTTTATTGTATCGAAAAAAATATGATTTTTTATTGAAGGACATAAATCAACGGTTTGGTGTAGGTTGAGTAGTCGAATATCAACGGTTTGGTGTAGGTTGAGTAGTCGAATAGTGAACTTGGAGAGATTTTTTAAAGCTGATCCAAACATATTTAGGTTGAAAGACCAAAGAGAAAAAAATGTCTTTTAAAGAAATAAATTTCACAGGATCCACCAACTATATCCACAAATATAAGCAGTATGAATGAAGAAACAAAAAAACACCTTAAGATTTTAACTGTTGAGTTGATATCGTTCTACTTTTTTTAGTTGTTTACTTGATTTCCCTCCCTTGAACATCTGAAGATAACTATAGCTACAAATAAACAATAAAGCTACAAATAACAACCCAAATAAAAAAATTTGTCTTCATATACCAATTTGGTAATGGCATAAAAC